GGGACAAAATCAACCGCTTTAATGTAACACACATGCAGGAGTATGGGTCAATGTTTTGGAGAATTAAATTAATTTGAACAGCATTAGATTTTTCTGAGTATTATAAGAATATTCAAAATTTTATTTTTTATTGTACGGGTAAACTTGTTTATAAACGAGGAAATCACCTCTTTTGATTGTCCATCAGTAATTGTCCATATTATAACCTTTTTTCAAAAATATATTTGCTTGTTCAAAATATTTTTCCGTATTCTATTCTAACCCTCAGACCTATCTGCCCAGCTCATTTCCTGCAACAACCAAATTTAATAACAAAATGCAATAAAACTATAGATTGAAGAAAAATTGGCCAAGAGATTAATATCCTGGACTCTAAGGAAACAGATAAGGGGGTAACCCTAAATAAATTGGTAACAAAGAAAGAAGAAAACAATCTGTTCCTAATATCAATATCAAGTGTATCGATACAGATAAAAACTAATAGAATTATTAGAAATCTTGAAGATACTTTATTAAGAATATCAAAAAGCAGACAATGGACGTACAAAAACCCTTGTTTTCTTCTGTCTTTTTTACCTTAATAAAACTACGCTCTACAAAAATTAAAACTTAAAACGTACTCTCAGGGTAATAAGGTAGGGAAATCTCTTGTCGCAATGTTAAAACAGAAGCAGGTGCAATCCAAAATATCATATCTAATTGCCAAAGATGGCATTCAAATTTACAACCCCCAAGATATCAGTGATGAAATGGCAACATTTTATCATACCCTGTATAACTTAAAGGATGAGGAAGCGTTGCATCAATCAAATTCACAGGAAATAGAAGAACTCCTCAACTTAACTGAGCTACCCACTTAAATTCGACTACAAAAAAAAACATATTACAAGCAAATAATGAAAACCACATAGACCCTGCCAGTAGGGAAGTCCCCTGGCCCAGATGGCTTTACCAACTCATACTACAAAGCCTTTGTCACTCTTCTGACTCCTCACTTGGAAAAAACCTTTAACCACATAATACAGACAGGCACAGTCGCCTCTGAAACCCCCGTATGAAAGCTAAAACCTGAGGCCCATCTCCTTGTTAAACACACACATTAAACAAAATGTATTCAAACAGACTGCCCACTATCATTCCCTCTATTATAGATGTAGACGAGGTGGGGTTCGTGAGCGGGATGCAAGGAGCGCAAGATCTTCAACCTTATACAGGGGCTGCTAAGGGGGAGGACGCCCAGTGTGTGTCTCTCCCAAGACTCTGAAAAAGCTTTTGATTGGTGGAACTGGTCCTTCAATTTCACGCCCACCCAACTTTCTATTGCTATTGCTTTCTATTGCTAGTCTAGGCACTATACTCGAAACCCACTGCTCATATAATGAATAATGGATTCAAATCCCACCCTTTCACGATAAGTAATGGATCAAGACAGGGCTGTCTACTATCCCCATTACTTTATATTTTAGCTCTAGAGCCCCTAACACAAATGATCAGAGACAATACAGAAAATGCTCATACAAACTAAATATCACTAAGACAAATGCCATTGAGTTCAACAACCCCGCCCCTATGCTAGAAACCTTGAAAAGCACTTATGCATACAACTGGAGACACGACCAGTTACAATTCCTAGGCGCATCCCTAACCATAAACACCCACAATTTGTTTAAAACGAACTATCTCAAAATGCTAAACAAAGTCAAGAATCATAGAAACAGGAGAGAGACAATCTGTCCCAATGAGATGTCAAGATCAAAAAACTAATAATAAATAAAAAGATTATATATATATATATATATATATATGTAAAGGCTTGTCTGGAGTTGTGGGAGGGGCATGGTGATCCTGTTTAAACTCACGCCCCTTTTTCTGCATCACCGTGGAGTTTTGACTTCAGCAGGCATCACGTCCGGTTTCGGACTTCCGGGTTACGATTACTTCCGGTTCGCGGTCTGTGCGTTCAGATCGGCTAACAGCTGCTGTTTTTCCCACACGCTCGGGGGGCACTAAAATCGTGAGTCTTGCATATTCCGGTCCCCTCACCATCTGCCACATGGTCCATAGGGGTGGGGGGGCTGGCAGTAAAACGCACGGACGCAGCAGCCAGAGACCACACAAGTCTCCACTCTGCTGACAGGTTTCGTTTTCAGCTTACTTAGTACACTACTAAAACGAAGCTTACATGCTGCTGGGGAAGTTTGTTTAAACTGTAAATACTGTATCACATGCCACAGTACAACTACTGGGCTTCATAATGTATACTGTTATGACATACTACTTGCTGCATACTATTTTATACTTAGCACATACTAACTAAACTGCATACTAATGTATACTTTATGTCATACTACTTACTGCATACTACTGTATACTTAGCCCATACTAACTAAACTACATACTAATGTATACTTTATGTCATACTACTTACTGCATACTACTCTATACTTAGCCCATACTAACTAAACTACATACTAATGTATACTTTATGTCATACTACTTACTGCATACTACTGTATACTTAGCACATACTAACTAAACTGCATTCTAATGAATACTTTATGTCATACTACTTACTGCATACTAATGTATACTTCTTGGCTCAGTAAAACTGACATCGTCAATGCGTTTAAGTTACTACCCATTCACCCGTCACTATGGCATCTGCATGGTTTAAAATGGAAAGGTGTCTATTATTTTTTCACAAGACTCACGTTCGGGTCAAAAAGCAGCCCAAAAATATTTGACATCTTTTCCAAAACCTTATGTTGGCTGCTTTTAAACAATTGCAAATGCCAGGCCGTTATGCATTATCTGGACGACTTTCTGTTCGTGGAGAATAATTCCTCTTCCCCCAGTGATCTGACAAAGGCCATATAATTTTTTCATTCTTTTTCATTCCCCCAAGAAAACAGAAGGCCCTGACACGTTAATAAATTTCCTAGGTATCCTGCTTGATTCAGTAAACATGGAAGCGAGCTTACGTCCAGGTAAAATTGACAGCATTCCGACAACCAAGCTACCTGCCACATCATAAACAAAGGCCGTTCGGAGTCTCTAACAGGGCTCGAGTCCTGCAGGAACGCGTGGGAACGGCGTTCCTGCACTTTTTTCACAGCAGGAACGCCGTTCCCCCTGCAGGCACTCAGGTGGCGGCAAAAAATGCCGCCCCCAAATGCCCTGTGTTCCCCCTGTCATGGGGAGCCACCTGGCGAACGGCTCTCTCCAGGGCTCGAGTCCTGCAGGAATGCGTGGGAACGGCGTTCCTGCACTTTTTTCACAGCAGGAACGCCGTTCCCCCTGCAGGCACTCAGGTGGCGGCAAAAAATGCCGCCCCCAAATGCCCTGTGTTCCCCCTGTCATGGGGGGCCACCTGGCGAACGGCTCTCTCCCTGTCACACGCGGAGAGGGAGCTGTGTGCTCTCTGCTCCCTCTCGTCGCGCGGGATGTCTGCTGATACTGGGAGCCGGAATATGACGTCATCAACCCGGCTCCCGGCATCAGCAGACATCCCGCGCGGCGAGAGGGAGCAGAGAGCACACAGCTCCCTCTCCGCGTGTGACAGGGAGAGAGCCGTCCTCACTGCAGCCCCACTGGACCCCATGGAAAGGTAGGGATGCTGGGTGGGTTGGAATGGGATATGTTAATTTGTTGATAATATTATTAATGTATGTCTGTTTGTGGATGTCTGCTTGTGGATGTGTGGATGTCTGTCTGTGTGGATGTCTGTTTGTGGATGTCTGTTTGTGGATGTGTGGATGTCTGTTTGTGGATGTCTGTTTGTGGATGTGTGGATGTCTGTTTGTGGGTTTGTGGATGTGTGGATGTCTGTTTGTGGATGTGTGGATGTGGATGTCTGTTTGTGGATGTGTGGATGTCTGTTTGTGGATGTCTGTGTATGTGTGGATGTCTGTTTGTGGATGTGTGGATGTCTGTTTGTGGATGTGTGGATGTGGATGTCTGTTTGTGGATGTGTGGATGTCTGTTTGTGGATATGTGGGTGTCTGTTTGTGGATGTGTGGATGTCTGTTTGTGGATGTCTGTTTGTGGATGTGTGGATGTCTGTTTGTGGATGTCTGTTTGTGGATGTGTGGATGTGTGGATGTGTGGATGTCTGTTTGTGGATGTGGATGTCTGTTTTTGGATGTGTGGATGTCTGTTTGTGGATGTCTGTTTGTGGATGTGTGGATGTCTGTTTGTGGATGTCTGTTTGTGGATGTGTGGATGTCTGTTTGTGGATGTGTGGATGTCTGTTTGTGGATGTCTGTTTGTGGCTTTGTGGATGTCTGTTTGTGGATGTGTGGATGTGGATGTGTGGATGTCTGTTTGTGGATGTGTGGATGTCTGTTTGTGGATGTGTGGATGTGGATTTCTGTGGATGTGTGGATGTCTGTGTGTGGATGTCTGTGTGTGGATGTGTGGATGTATGTATGTTTGTGGATGTGTGGATGTGGATGTGTGGATGTCTGTTTGTGGATGTGTGGATGTCTGTTTGTGGATGTCTGTTTGTGGGGATGTCTGTTTGTGTGGATGTCTGTGTGGATGTCTGTTTGTGGGGATGTCTGTTTGTGGGGATGTCTGTTTGTGGATGTGGGGATGTCTGTTTGTGGATGTGTGGATGTCTGTTTGTGGATGTGTAGATGTCTGTGTATTTGTGGATGTCTGTGGATTTGTGGATGTCTGTGGATGTGTGGATGTCTGTGGATTTGTGGATGTCTGTTTGTGGATGTGTGGATGTCTGTTTGTGGATTTGTGGATGTCTGTTTGTGGATGTGGATATCTGTTTGTGGATGTGTGGATGTCTGTTTGTGGATTTGTGGATGTCTGTTTGTGGATGTCTGGATGTCGGTTTGTGGATGTCTGGATGTGTGGATGTCTGGATGTGGATGTCTGTCTGTGGATGTCTGGATGTGGATGTCTGTTTGTGGGGATGTCTGTTTGTGTGGATGTCTGTTTGTGTGGATGTCTGTTTGTGTGGATGTCTGTTTGTGGGGATGTCTGTGTGTGGGGATGTCTGTTTGTGGATGTGTGGATGTGTGGATGTGGATGTCTGTGTATGTGTGGATGTCTGTGTGTGGATGTCTGTTTGTGGATGTGGATGTCTGTGTGTGGATGTCTGTTTGTGGATGTGGATGTCTGTTTGTGGATGTCTGTGTATGTGTGGATGTCTGTTTGTGGATGTCTGTGTATGTGTGGATGTCTGTTTGTGGATGTCTGTGTATGTGTGGATGTCTGTTTGTGGATGTGTGGATGTCTGTTTGTGGATGTGTGGATGTCTGTTTGTGGGTGTCTGTTTGTGGATGTCTATTTGTGGATGTCTGTTTGTGGATGTCTGTGTATGTGTGGATGTCTGTGGATGTGTGGATGTCTGTGGATGTGTGGATGTCTGTTTGTGGATGTGTGGATGTGGATGTCTGTTTGTGGACGTCTGTTTGTGGACGTCTGGATGTGTGGACGTCTGGATGTGTGGATGTCTGGATGTGTGGATGTCTGGATGTGTGGATGTCTGTCTGTGGATGTCTGTCTGTGGATGTCTGTTTGTCTCAGTGTGTGTAGGAGTGTATTTATGTCTGTTAGCGTTTGTATGTGTGTATGTGAGTGTATGTGCTTCTGTTAGTGTATGCATGTGTATGTTTGCAATTGCATGTATGTGCATACGATATTGTAAGTTTCTGTCAAATAAGTGAGAGTCTGTCATTTAGTGTGTGTGTGACTATTAGTGTGTGTCTCTCTGTCAATGAATGAGTGTGTGTCAGTGAATGTGTGTGTCAAATCAGTGAAGTCTGTGTGTTTGTCATTGAATGTGTGTGTTAGTGTCAGTGTGTATCTGCCAGTGTGGGTGTCTGTCAGAGAGTGTGCTTAAAGGGACACTATAGGCACCCAGACTACTTCAGCTCCTTGAAGTGGTCTGGGTGCAGTGTCCCAGTCCCCTTAAACCTTCTCAGAAACTGCAATAATTACCTGAGGGGTAACTCCAAGTCTAGTGGCTGTCTATCAGACAGCCACTAGAGGGACTTTCGGGTGGTTAGGTGACCAAAAGTCACCTAACTGATGCTGGACGTCCTCACCCTGTGCATGAGGACATCCAGCATCTGCTAAATACCCATAGGATTTTAACCCCTCCAGTGTCGAGTGGGGGAGGGGAGGACATGAGAGGAGGGGGGCACTATACGGAATTATAGTGCCAGGAAAACAACTTTGTTTTCCTGGCACTATAGTATTTCTTTAAAAGGAGCAGGAAAAGGTGGAGTCTAAAGAGGAAGGGGTGGGTTCTTAATCAGAAGCGGTGCGCCCTTGACATGAAGGAGTGGTAAATTTAGATTAGGGGGGTGCTCTATAGTCATGTCTAGGGCAGCATAAAATTAAAATACACCACTGTGTGAGTGTATGTGTGTGTGCACGCGTGTGTATGTGTGTGTGTATATATATATATATATATACACATACATATACATACATACAAGTGTTTTGGTTTTTTTTGGGAGAGTTCCCACACTTTTTTCCCCAGGACTTGACCCCTGATCATGCACAGGAGTTACATTCAGACACAGGACAAATCCCATTTAGTGGCTCTGTCAGCACTATCATATAGTGTATTCAAATCTGCCTGTGCTGATTAATAAAAATATTTTAACCACTTTTCCATTGAATGATATAATTGGAAGATAGACATCCTGTGGGCACGGAGGACATTCTGTATTTTAGGAAGTTCACAGGGATGGTCACATGGTGGGAATTAGTATTATAAACTTTGCACATTCCAATGTTCTAGTTGTGGGATTTTCTCCTGTTAATCTGCAACTAACACAGCCAACTGGCAGATCTTCAAACTCTTAGAGATCGGTTTGATGGACATAATATGAATGTTTTGAGAAACCCTCTGGTGGCTGGCTTAGCTCCAAAATATATGAAGGACTTGAACCTCACAATTATAATAAACAAGGAAAGTTATCCATTGGGCAAACCAATAAGATAATCCTAACTGCACGTAAGTGATAAATTGGAATTTATATTCAGAGGCTAAAGGTCAATTAGAAGTTTTCAAGATTCCTTCTCGGTCCAAACATCTTTGGATATCTCTGATGTATTGTTGGTGACTTCACAACCAAACAGAAAAAATCCAAGAAGCACTTTGTATCTCTCAGCTGTGGGAACCTCTGATGGCCTCACCATTCAGCAGGTCCAGGGATATGCCAGTAGCTTCCACAGAAATGTAAGGATTAAAGGAAAACTGTCACTTTCTGGGATTTTTAGTATTATGTTAATTTACCAAGTATGTATTGTGAGGTGTAAAAAATAAAATTAAATGTAGAAATTCCCTCTTTATCCTGTAACTGGGCGCCTCCCTGTCACTCATTGTTATAAGCTCCGCCCATTGCACCTGGCGGTCAGCATAGAGAGAGCGTACAGAGGAGGAGTAGACATGGAACACAGAGTTGTGTATAACTATTGTTGAATCACGCTATGCATGAGGGCTTCCATGGTCATCCGAATCCCCATAGGAAAGCATTGTATAATGCGCATTAGATCTCCCTGCTGTTTGTCGTCATCGGTGCTGGACCCAAGTAGGTGACAAAAGAGGTTTTTTAACCCCTTCTGTACCACAGGGGGAGTCCGCAACAGAGGCATAAGCTATAGTGCCAGGAAAACAAGTTTGTTTCCTGGGACTATAGTTTCCCTTTATCAATTTTTCTATTCCTTAAAAAAAATAAAAAAGACCAGAAAATCCACTACTCGTCAGACGCTGTCCCTCTTACATCAACAGCGCCACTATTAAAAATGACAATACTATTGGGAAACCCGCAAACAGGAAAAATGTGGCCCAGACAAAGGAAAATATCGTTGTAATAAGAAAATGTAATAAAATCAGTGTGAAAACAGCCCAGCCATATTTTATAAACCTCCTCCAAATGTTCCTATTTCTCCTTCTCATTTGCAACGCGCACCCTGGCCGTGCCTTTACTGAACTGGATTGTGACGTAATTTCTTAAATCTTTAATATGAATGTAAAAGAAACATGAAAAATAGATTAATACAAGTTATAGGTAGCAGTCCACCTTTAACCTAAACCATGATAATAATCTACTTTACACATTGAAAAGCATCGAAGATAATGACTGTGCCTGAATAAGCATTCATTCGCTTTGCTTTAATGATAATCATTCGTTCACAGCATGGCTTTATATTCTGTTTTATTGGGCTGATATATCATATGGATGATCTGAAATAAATAATCCTGCACTGTGAATGGGACCTGCCTTGTAGCTACATCCTGCAGGGCTGCACTTTTCATACATAAAGACATAATATGTGTCATGACAGCCCTGTATGAAATACAATGTGTGAGATGGTGATTCATTCCATCTAAAATCTGTTATTTCGTAGTTCTATGAAGTTCATTAACGCAGCTCCTCTAGCACACAGTGATGGCGGCAGATTTCTAATTCCAGCTGCCGGACCTTTCTGAGATGGAAGAACAGATTCTGCTTTTGGAAATAAAACACAAACGAGATTATTGACTAACTTGAGATTTGTTGGGAAATCAAAGGGAATTTCAAATTTGGGATCAAAATAGCCAAAACAGGAAAACATCCCCCAGTCAGCTCTGCTTTCAGATCGGCCTCGATTTTCACTATAGGAGATAACAATGACAATAATGTTTGAGCCACACAAAAATGATGAAGTTCCGTAGTTGGAACTATTTTTGGTGCATTGTATGGTGGCTGAAGACAGACTCTCTGTTAGTTTCTTTGAACAGGTGCTGACAGAGAGCTAATAAGATCATGTATGAGGGTGCTTTATCTTTACATAGAGGTGCTCAGCGACAGCCCTCAAAGTACAGAGATACAATGGAACTGGAAGAACAGCTAAAACAGATACTGATATAACACCACTATTGACCTCTTATTTCTAGTAATATGAGAAGTGCAGGGGGTCTGAGCTTCTGGATTAAACCTCATTTTGTAATCTGAAGCTCTGATAGATATGATAAAATAGGTAAAATAGGATGGAGCAGTCTGTGGGTTAAGGCAGCTGGTATTGATTCTGGTGGTCCCCATACAGGTCTCTCACATGTGAGTAACATTCTGTAATCAGCCTGTCTCTTCCTGGAAACCAACGGCGGAGGGAATGGACAGCTAACTAACTGCATGCATCAGAACCCCAGAACGTGGGTTCCAGGGTGCTAACGAACAGCTGAATTGTACAAAATTTACGGTCAGCCCAGGCTGATAGCAACATGGTATTTGTTTATGGTACTGTGGCCAATTCTTCAACTCCCAAACAAGGGCGGGTGGGGGGTGGGGAGATACAAAACCTTTGCATGCGTTAAAAAGGTGAATATAGTAAATATTTTATCACTATTTTCAGCAGCCTAGTGGAGGTAATGTATAAATAGTAATTTAGGGCAAAGTTCTATGAGTAGAAAGCAATCAACATGGAAACCAATATAATGTATAATGATTGATCCACTAATCCAGTACCAGTAATTGCTATTTATACAGAACCCCTTGGTGAAGGAGTCCTGTACAAAATACAAAGTGACATTGACCCACTGAGGGCCTGAAGAATGGACATTGTAACCCAAGAGGGCCCAAGAAATGGACATTGTAACCCACCGAGGGCCTGAGGAATGGACATTGTAACCCAATGAGGAATAGACAGTGTAACCCACCTAGGGCCCAAGGAATGGACATTGTAACCCACCTAGGGCCCGAGGAATGGACAGTGTAACCCACCTAGGGCCCGAGGAATGGACAGTGTAACCCACCTAGGGCCTGAGGAATGGACAGTGTAACCCACCTAGGGCCCGAGGAATGGACATTGTAACCCACCTAGGGCCCGAGGAATGGACATTGCAACCCACCTAGGGCCCGAGGAATGGACAGTGTAACCCACCTAGGGCCCAAGGAATGGACATTGTAACCCAACTAGGGCCCGAGGAATGGACATTGTAACCCACCTAGGGCCCGAGGAATGGACATTGTAACCCACCTAAGGCCCGAGGAATGGACATTGTAACCCACCTAGGGCCCAAGAAATGGAACCAATCGGAAAATTCCTGGAGTGAAACGACACAAAACCCAATGATAAATGACAAAAGTGTAACCCACCTAGCCCGAGGAATGGACACAGAACTCCAGTCCGAGAAATGACATTTGTGCAACCCACCCAGGGTCTATTGAGGAACAGCAACGAAATCGTGAGGAATGGACACATTGTAAACCCACCCCAGGGCCAGAGGAAATGGACAACCCACCCAGGGCCCCGCCAGGAATGGGCAGTGCAACCCACCCAGGCCCAAGGAATGGACAGTAACCCACCTTAGGCCTGAGTGAATGGACATTGAAATCTAACTAGGGGTCTGAGAATGGACAATCCACCCAGGGCCCGAAAGATTTGACCATTGTAACCCACCTAGGGCCCGAGGAATGGACATTGTAACCCACCTAGGGCCCGAGGAATGGACAGTGTAACCCACCTAGGGCCCGAGGAATGGACATTGTAACCCACCGAGGGCACGAGAAATGGACATTGTAACCCACCTAGGGCCCGAGGAATGGACATTGTAACCCATCTAGGGCCCGAAGAACGGACATTGTAACCCACCTAGGGCCTGAGGAATGGACATTGTAACTCACCGAGGGCCTAAGAAATGGACATTGTAACCCACCGAGGGCCTGAGGAATGGACATTGTAACCCACCGAGGGCCCGAGAAATGGACATTGTAACCCATCTAGGGCCCGAGGAACGGACATTGTAACCCACCTAGGGCCTGAGGAATGGACATTGTAACTCACCGAGGGCCTAAGAAATGGACATTGTAACCCACCGAGGGCCTGAGGAATGGACATTGTAACCCACCGAGGGCCCGAGAAATGGACATTGTAACCCATCTAGGGCCCGAGGAACGGACATTGTAACCCACCTAGGGCCTGAGGAATGGACATTGTAACTCACCGAGGGCCCGAGGAATGGACATTGTAACTCACCGAGGGCCCGAGGAATGGACATTGTAACCCACCGAGGGCCCGAGGAATGGACATTGTAACCCACCTAGGGCCAGAGGAATGGACATTGTAACCCACCGAGGGCCTGAGGAATGGACATTGTAACCCACCTAGGGCCCGAGGAATGGACATTTTATTGCTCTGATTTCCCTCTACTTGTTTATTACAAACCCTGGATTCTATGAACTGTAGTAAACGAAGCAGTAAAGGAGAAATTAGCCAATTTATGTGCCCAGCAGAGAGAGATTTTGAGATGACTTACCCATGCAGATAGAAGATATAATACAAGGTGTATTGATCTATCTGCCTGTTTGTCCTCACAATGAACAAGGCTTGCAGAATGTGCTACTACTGTAATATTGTGAACATATGGTGCCAGGTATCCCTTGTGGACCTTTTTATGTAAGGAAGTGATTTTCTACTGAAGCCGTAGACCCTGTGTCTGTGTTAAATGTTACCCAACCTATTCAAGAAGATCAGAGTGTAAAAACCTGAATATGCAATGAGCAAGCTCTCATTCAGTTTTGTCCTCTGGTGTTCTTTTGGTTTTTCAATATAACTACAAACTGATATATTGACATTTGAGGATGGCTCGATCCAATATGAAAGTCTCTGTACACACTAAACCAAGTCTTGGGGAGGTCTTTAAACACACTATGCCACATCTTGTGGAAATCTCTGTAAACCCCAAAGCATGTTTTGTGGAAATTCCTGTAGACAATGAAGCACATGATGTGGAAGTCTTAAACAACTGCTGATATTTGTGTACTCACTAGATTACACATTGATGATGTGTCTGTTCATATGAAACCATGTATTGTGTAACTCTCCGTACACACAATTTCTTCTCTTATGTAACTCGCTGTAGACACTAGATTATATGTTGTGTAAATCTCCGTATTCACAGAGCCATCTGATGTCAAACTATATGTATACATCAAACAACATTGTGGAAGATGAGGTACATACAGGACAATGTGTCCTTTATATTTCCAGGTTTTGTATCCATTTATAGAAACTATTTTTGTTATATGCCAGTGGACAATTTATTCCCCATACCAAGAGGTCTGCTATTACTTCTATTCATTGCTGAACTCTTGATTCATTAAATACCATCCTGATCTGAAGTTAGAAGTAGACTTATTTCTTAATGTGCCTTACTCCTATGGCACAGAGTT